TAGAAATAAATACATTCTCCATCATTTTGAACTTTTTATTAACCTTTTGCTACAGGGAATGAGTATTTCCACAATTACCATTTTTACTCTTATATTGTATTTTTAAAGTCTTATTTAGAATATAATAATTGTTTAGTTTAAAGCATCGTGACGGTTTGAAGATCGTGTATTGATTACGTAACAAATGTGTAAACCCACACTAACGACTGTTGGTGAACATGAGGAGTATTGCTCAAAAACGAGCATTTTCTTTTATCTTATTGCATAAAGTTTCAAATGAACAAGTCTGCCTCTTTGTAAAAGAAAAGCCACGAAATTAACCTACAACCTCCACTAACTATCATCCTTAAGAGTTTGAAAATGAAATAAAACTGATCCCGCTCATTCATGAACTGCTCAAGTTGAGAGCACCGTCGCGATGCGAGGATCTTGCACCGCGAGACCTGGCCATTGTTCTCCTATGTTGGGTCGTGTGGGCTACATGGCGTGATGTATATGCACTTGTCGTGTGTGGCGTGACGTTTTGCTGGTGCCCCTCCTCTGTTCGGACGTGACAACCCTTGCGGCGCGTCGTGACAGCTAGTTGCATGGTTCTTCTCTTGCTTCATATGGGCCTTTAGTGCCTTCTGCATATGGGCCTTTAGTACCTGGTACGTATGTTCTGATGCCGTTGAGCCTATTACGATCGGGCAATTTCACGTTTTGGTCTGTCGCGTAGTCGTGCGACTGTGCTTAGGGCTCAGTTTGCATCATTCTCGCTCTCTTCAAGACTATCCTTGTCCTCAAGGATAAAGTTCAAAATTTGGTGGCAACTGATCGGTGTAGGAGATAGATGTGAGATGAAGAGTTGATCACAAACCTTGAAGACGTTTTCTTGATTCACAAACCCGAAGCCACTTTCTGTGCCCATGAGACGTCCTAGGATCTCTTGATCAAATAACCTAATAAACCGATCCAAAGCACATTTACTTTGAATAGGCTTAACAATCTTTGAAAAGTGCTACAAGCAAGCACATCTACTTCGAATATGGCATCCTCGTTGCCGATACTATTCACCACATTAATCGGTCACAGATGACCCTTGTTTTTATCAATTTGTTGTGACCATGCATTTTCAAGTTCTTTGTCGCCGAGAACCAAAATCATCACCGTCTCCCCAATCCGGCGCGACCAACCCTCCTTTCGTCCACAATGGTTCAAATCGCGGACGACCCGACCCTTAACTGTATAACTTTGTTGTCGGTCGTTGGACTTCGCAATCTGGAGGAACGAAGCTGCTTCACGCTTGCCTCTCTATTCCGTTGACTGAAGAGTTTAAAGTCTCGATGTCTCCGGTCTTCTACTAACATCGTTGCCCTCTCAGTTATTTTGAATTCCGGCATAGCGATTTCTTTTAATTCAAATTTCTCAGTTGAATTTTTATCCCCCAGAATCCTCTCTTTATCCTTATTTTCTTCTGACAGAGAATTTTCGAACTCCGATTCGAATTCAGCCGTTCGGTCGCTCATGGAATCCGATTATTAATCTTCATCCAAAATTTTTGGGAAAACTTCAGGCTTCGAGACTCTAGGAATCATCATCCACGATCAACAAGGAAAAGTGATCACCACATTCATTTGTCTCATGGGTTTCGACATCAAAACGAGGCGGAACGTCATACTCGGTCTACTCTTGTTCCTCCAAAAACTCGTCGGTTCTAAACATTCGGAATCTTGGTAATCACGAACAAGAATGATGAAGCCCTACGCCGATCATCGACAAATCGACCCTCTTCCTGCTGGTTCGACCCCCTCGACCGGTTGCCTCTGTCATCGGGATATTTTGGTCCCTTATCGGGTTCATTGAGTCCGTTTGGCAATGAATTTAAACTTTCCAAATAAAACTCATATGCATTTTAGGCTATTGCATCAAAATATGGCCGATATGTATTGCACGTAGTAGTTAAGTCTAGTAAAGCCTTATTACATCAAAATAAGAAATCCACCTTATGCTTTTCCACTAAAACATTTGAACCACATATGACAACACACTTTTGATGTCTCTAGCTAGTAAAGAAAGAAGTTCTCATTAGGCATCAAATATATACTCACCTATCTTATCGCATCAATTTTATTCCAAGTTTGAATTTTATATGAATCTCGTTAGACATCAATTATGTACTCACCTCATATTAAATAATTATTTTTTTTCTCTTCTTTAGGCAACCATTAATTCTATATTTTCTCTATTACAAATGCATGTGTAGAAAGAATATTGTCCATTAAGTATGTTACGGGTAGGAAGCATATTCTACTATCTTTTCAGCGCATGTAAAAATGACTTGAACGAATCATTTTTAGAGGGTATTTGGTCTATACTCTCTTTATTGTTTCAATAATTATCACGCTTCAAGAGGAAAACGAGAAGAAAATAAATAAATAAATATATTTTTTAAATTATATACAAGTGTACAATCAGGGATCCGATATATTGTTGCACTAGTACATTTATATATTGAACATGATCCCAGAGAGGAGAAGTTCGTTTTATACTGATCGTCGTAAACGAACTAGACCTCAGTTAATTACTGCGTTCTCTTAACCCGTAAGATATTAAACAAACATATATATGCAGTACATATTACTTTGATTCATTTTGGTGAGATTCAGTTCGCTGGATTAATATTCCTACTGTTTGGGTAATATTGATGTATGTATGATGTGTTGTTAGGATATTTACGGTCACCATGTTCGCTAGTTTGATGATGTCCCCGAAGTGAGTTCATGAAAGATTGTTATGCTAAACCCTGTAGGTAGATTAAGTTCCGGCACAATAATAATGTGATGAACGAGAGCTAGCTTCGGTGAAATAAATAATATATTAATTAATTTTTGATTGTCAGTAATCGAATTAATTAATGGACATTATATCTTAAACATGAGGAGGTAAATTGAGTAATTATAATTGGAGTCTCAAATGTAATTTGGGCTAGGAAAAGAGAGTGTAATAATATTACGTTGGTGGACCGTAATATTATTTAAGTAATTGGAAGAGTGGGTATGACATACAGTTAGTCCACTACTTAAGAAGCCCTATTCCTAATCTCCTAAAGATCCCTACTATAGCTTTATATATACATCATTAAGCTCATGAGAAGAGATCCATCTCATTATTTCACGCTTGAGTTCGGCCGCCCCACACTCTCTCTATAGATCTCATTCGAGCTTTATCTTCTGCTTATTGCTCCACCGGTACAAGTTGAAGAGGTGTAAGAGTGATACAGTAGAAGATCCCGAAGGTAATCGAGACCCCGTGATCATCTACAGAAGTTGACGAATCTCAACCCGAAGGTCAAGATCCGCCGACCAGCCGGAGGACCGCCGCACCGTGAGCCGAGCCGCGGCGACCCGCGACGCGACCACCCACGCAACGACACGACCGACACCCAATGACAGGCCACACGACCCGTTCGCGATCCCGACTCGATTGATCCAGCCTCCGTTCGTGTGATGTTCCCGGTCATCCCGAATCATACAGATTCAGAAAATTTTAAGCCGTAAGTTTTCTACATCAAACCTTTAGATTCGCTGCGCATAGGTTTACGTTTGCTATTGGATTCGTAACTTGTACATAACGAGATCCTCATAGATCCCAACACCTACTAATGTCGGGGGCCTCTCTGTTGACAACCGACCTGATTTGTTGGAGATTAAGATGAAGATTAACGAGTATTACACAAGGTCATTACTCAAACCAGCCCATGCGCTTAAATTGGCGTATCTCGGTTCAAGCTGGGCATCAGACTGACTTCACTCATAAATGCGGGCCGACCTCACGTTCAAGACAACCAACCTCTCGAAGATTTCTTAAACATCCGACTTCCCAAAGATTCCTTCTCGAAGGTTCTCTCTGTGAAACTGAGGTCCGACATGACCAATCCCAAAGCAGGTGACAAAGCGCCTACATAGTTGGACCACGTGCTACATTGCAATCATAATTGTCCACCCATTGACCAACAAACCGCCTCATGAAGCTACTTTGTATTAAATGCGATCACACCTACCTCGTACGCAAAGTGAAGCGCAAGCTACTATAAATAGCAGAATTGATTATTGTACGGGGGATCTTTTCTACGCGCATTCAATACGTACATGCAAAATAGCTCGGTTCACAATAAACCGACTTCTTGTACTATGTCAAAACACATCAATAATACAAAATCTCAACTTTTTACACTTTGATTACATCTTGTTATCGTTGTTAAATCTCATACAACAACAGTCTCATTGTGTGAAATGAACATAATAATAAATAAGGGCAGTTAAGACTTTTAATATTCTTTTTATCTCAAACCGTGGGAAAAAAAAAAGTAGCGTTTTTCATTTTAGTGGAAAAGCTGTTTACCAAACATTTTTTTCAGTTGATTGTGTAAAGTCAAACAGCTCAAAAAGCTCTTTTGAGGCCAAAAAACCATTAAACAAACTATCTAAAATGAAATACTAGTATTTAGTTCTTTCATTTAATCTAGAATTTTAATTTTTCTATCAACAAGGATTTAAAAAATGATATATATTTAGCATAAAATCATAAAATAAATTAAATAAATACTAAACAATACTTATCACACATATTTTTAAAACATATATTCTAGTAAAATGAATATAGAAATGTAAGCAACTATACAAATACATGCAATACTAAATAAAAATAAAAAATAAAAAAAGTAACGATTGTTTGTCAAACTACGACATTAATTACTGACTTGATAACTAAAATATTTATAATATGTATTTTTAAAATTTAAAAAATAGAATAATTAAAAAAAATTAATGTAATTAAACTGATAAATTTTTGTGACTTGAAATAATATTAAATTTTTAAATAAAAAAAATATCAATAAATAATAAAATATAAAAATTTATTTTATTTATTTATTTATTTATTTTATTTATTTTTGGGTACAATATTTTATTTATTTGTATTATGTCTCGGTAGAAAAGAAAAGGATACAGCTGTGATGATCGGAAGTGTTTTTAAAGCAGGCCAGAAGTCCAATCACGACCATATTCTTCCTGTGATATTTTCTCTCTCCATTTTCCAACAGTCCAACTTCCTCTATGGAGGCCCCACCACTCTCCACCACTCCCCCAATTCCCTCCACCACCCCCCAAAAGCCGGCGGCCTACACGGACTCCGGCCATGCTGACCCCCCGCCGCCGAAGCTTCGCCTGATGTGCAGTTACGGTGGCCACATCGTCCCCCGCCCCCACGACAAGGCCCTCAGCTACGTCGGCGGCGATACTCGCATCGTCGTTGTCGACCGCGACGCCACCCTCTCCGACCTCCACCGCCGCCTCTCCAGGAGCCTCCTCCGCGATCAGCCTTTCTCGCTCAAGTACCAGCTCCCCAGCGAGGAATTGGATTCCTTGATCTCGGTCTCCACGGATGAGGATCTCGAGAACATGGTGGAGGAGTACGACCGCCTGAACAGTGCCTCCGCCGCCGACGTCTCCAAGCCCTGCCGCCTCCGCCTCTTCCTGTTCCCCAAATCACAGTCGAGCGTCGAGCGGATTCTCGCCGAGACCGCGTCTGCTAAATCGGAGGAGTGGTTTTTCAGCGCCTTGAACGGGAAATCGGGAGCTCATTCAGCTGCCGCCAGCGATCGTGGATTTTCCGACTCGTCGTCGGTTAATTGCCTGCTTGGATTGGACGATGATTTAATGGGGAAGGCCGCGGTTGTGGAGAGCGGCGGTGGCGCCGGATTTGAGGATTTGAAGGCTGGCGTCAATGGAAACGAGAATCCTAATAGCAATAATCATGTAATTAATCAGGATGTGCAGTCGGTCCCCAATTCCCCCATGCTGGGAACGTCGTCGTCCTTCGGGTCTACTTCCAGTTCCCCTTCCGTCGCTAATTTGCCGCCGATTAAGGTGCACGCCGATGACAACCCCAAGGTTGGAGGGACAGGAATCGAGGAGCAATTTCAGCAGATGAGCGTTGGAGTTGTTAATTTGCCACCGCCGTTGAAGCAGGAGGAGGCCGGGATATATACGACCGCCGGCGTTGCAGCCGGAACGGTGGTTCAGGGGATACCGGTGGCGGTTGGCGGTGAGTATGCTAATCGGGTTATCGCCGAAGATGAGGGATCGGATCATGGCGGGTACGGGAAGGTACAACAGATACAGCCGCAGGTACAAGATCAATTGCAACCCCACCAGATCCTTCAATTTCAGCAGAAACAAACCAGGACGTTCGATTTGCCGTCTCCAGATTCAGTTTCCAGGTAAAGACCGTTTTACAATTTTACCCTATTCAGCCTTCATATATTCATGTTTTGAATTAGGATGTTGATGATTTGTTCAATTATTTAACAGTGAGGCAAGTGTAACAAATTCATTGCCCAGGCAAAGACAAGCTATTATTTATCAAGAACCATTCACCCAAATCCAAGCTACCAACACCAAAATTTCAACTAATCAATTAGAAAACAAAACCTTGGATCAAAATAACACCCAATCCAAAACACAACCTCTAGCTCAAGAACAGGTTTACGTGCTACCCGGTAATGTAGTGCCGATTTCTTCATATTACCCTATTTACCCTCCCCAGCTCCAAAACCAGCATCATTACCACCCGGTTTATTTCGTGCCGAATCAAATGCCTTACAATCAGTCGAGAAGTGTTCCTTCTTCCACTGGGCCAAAACTAGTGAATTCTGGCTCAGAACAGTTTGTCGGGCTCAGTCCAATTTATCAACCTCCCTCAGGCCAGAATACTGCTTACGGTTATGAATTTGCGAACCAGAAAAATGTGCCTGTGTACTACAAGCCTCTGCTACCTCAGATGGCGGCTCAGTACCAGAAGCTGGTTGTACCTGATGCATCGCGAGAGGCACAGCCATGATGATGGCTTTTGGTGGTATTGGGTTCACAATTTTGTGTTTTAGAAGTTTATATATATATTAATTACAGTGTGTGTTTGATATGATCGTTTGATATACTTGTTTGGTTAGTGATGTGTTGCTGAGATAGATAGGTGATGAGATACTCTGCTCTTTTCATGTTATTTCGCTGCTTGTCTTAGTTAAAAATGGTTTGATACTATATTGTAAAAGTTTAATCTCGTGCGGTACAGTCAGTTTATATATATATACATGGTGTAAATAGTAAATATTTTTACTTGATAATTTTGGTATATTCTTTAAAATTGTAATTTTTTTTTTAAACTTTGAGCTATGGACTATGGTGTTGAAGTGTACAGATGGGGTTTGTGGATTTTGACTTTTTCGTGAATATGATTTAATAAAGGATTTTCACATATTGTTTTCTAAAATATTTCGCGTAAAATTTAAGCTTGCCGTTGTGTCGCTGTCCTTGCCATAAAGCAGCAATATGTTGTGATGGCATTTAACTTTAGACAAGTTGCTCTATATGACCTTTTGTGTACTTATTTTAATTTTTATGCATTTTAGTAAGGGAAATTAATTGCTCCATATGCCCATTTGTTACGTATTTTACGCATTTTATCCCGAATTAATACCCTCTAGATGATTGAATACAATTATCTGATCACTATTGGAGATAAATTATCCGATAAATTTTGATCAGATTTTAAAACTTAAATTCAATTTAAATTTAATTCAATCAAATCTTCTTCAATTTTATCAATATAATTAAATAATATTAATCAATTATCACACTTTAATTCAATATTTGACTCATATAATAATTATGATATTAATACAAATTCAAAATCTCATTCAAACTCAACATAAACATTTTTTCAAAATTAAATATAATTATCCAATAAATTTAATTAAATTTAAAAATACATATTTAAATACAAACTCAAAATTTTATTTAAATCTAATAAAAGTATTTTTTTTTCAAAATTAACTCTGGTTATCCTACAAATTCAATCAAATTCAAAATAACGAATCGTAGCGAAATTGGTCCCAACAGTCAAGA